CCCCCCCCCCTTCCCTCGGGTGTGCTGTGGCACAGACACACACAGAACAGCACAGAGAATAACTTACAAATTGTACAGACCTAGATAAGTTTAAGGTTTAGTTTATTTAACTGACTGGGTGAAGACCATATCACACCATGAACAGCAAACAACAGTGAAAAAAATAACAAGCTACGCTAGATCTAGAACTAGATCTAGATCTATGGTTATAATTATATGCAAGAAAGAAATGTCAAGAGCAGAACGCATCTGATACCTAGATCTACCGATACTCAAAATTATAGCCTAATTTTAAGAAGGCTATTTTATTTTTTAAACGTAAGGCTATCTATGGCAACGGTAATCAGTAGTTGGCCTAGCTATCTAGATCTACATGAGGAAACATGCCCACATCGGGGTGGGGGTGAGAATAACGGGTGAGTTATTCTCCCCAGGGGTTAGAATATTATGTGGCCTTTCCATGCACATGAAGAAAATCAATTTCAATTTTTTTTAAATCCAAGTTATTTCAAAAGTCATGAGCGAAGGTAAAGTACTCATGAATTGAAAGGGAAACAATATTTCTTCGAGTCGCTTCCCTTAGAATTATTTCTTCTCTCCTGGTTTTTTTTCTGGTTAAAATAACTGCACAGTTGGGATGCGATGTTTTCCTTGCTTCTGAGCAATAATTGTACTATCTAATTGAGTTTCGGTCTTTCAAAAAGATCCACAGATTACAGATCCGATAAGACTCTAACAACTCTGTCATTTACTGAATGACAACATTACTTCTTTTTGTTGTGTCACATTAAAATTTACTTTTACCAAAGTTGTTCTGTTTTATCTGTCTGTTGTATTTTGGAAATGGCAACGTCAGATGAGATTTGAAAAGCATAGTAGGCCTACATAGCTCATTATATCAGCTCACATAGATTCTAACAGTGTATAAAGTACAGTTTTCAGCTGAAACGGAACGTCCAAGTATGAGCGGTGAAAAGGGGGAAATAAAAAGAAAAATTGGAGCAGAAGAGATACAGGGTGTCGTAGAATGTGGGCATATGCTTTACAGTTTCAGCAAAAACACTAAGCAACCTGTTTTTATTTTTCAAGCGCTAAAGTTTATAAATCCGGTATATGTAAAGGAATAGGGCATATTCCAATATATAAGAATATAAAAATCCATTGGCTGCTTACCATCATAAAAGTAGTATGATGGAAGAAAACAAAACAACAACCAATTGACACTGATGTTTAAAAAAAAATAAGAAGAAAAAAGAGGATGGCGGGGGATTGGGAACAAGCTTAGGAAGTCAATTTCACAACATGACATGAGAGGGCCCAAGACGAAATCCCCGTGGGGAGGAAGAAGAGAATAGGGCCGATATCCACATGAGAAGGCGGTGTGGAGCCAGATTTCAGGCTTATAAGCTGGCTGGTGATAGTAGAGAAAAATCACCCAGGACAGAGACAAGATTGGGGACGAGCCTTTTTTTTTTTTTTTTTTTTTTTTTTTTTTTTTGGCAGCTTGAAGATCTAAGCCATTATCAGAGGGAAGAGAAGATGATGATGATATTCCAATACGTCGTGTAACATAGCATAGACTACATAATATTGTCCATACAATAACTCTGTATCGTATTCCATGCCTTTAGAGTAGGCATATTATAATCTTTGTGAGACTTTCTGCTCTCAGTACACTTCTTATCTCAAACACGTTTAACTTTAATCAGAACATGATGGCACTAAGATTGAAAACTAGGGTTTAACGTAGAGCTGCGTCATGCTTTGGTCTAAACTGAACATTATTGCTCACAATAAACTCAACAGTGTATACTGTTTTTAAAGCGTGAGAGCGATTTTAATTCTCAATTTTTAATTTTCACTGCCTGCCTATTTTAACTTGCTACATTCTTTTTCACCGTTGCTCACACAAAATCTTGACCAAATTGCCTAGTCCAAGGTTATTCCATCCAAACATGCCCACACAGCACGCAGCTGTAAGCAGGTGATGCTTTATTCTTTGTAAGAACCCACAACGTGTATCTTTTTATTTGAGTTTATGTTCATTCATTCATTCATTTATTCATTCATTCATTCATTCATTCATTCATTCATTCATTCATTCATTCATTCATTCATTAATTTATCTATTTATTTTTAAACTCACTTAATGAAAGGGAAAACCCGCTCATTTTGCGAGCTTGGATGTTTGTGATACTTATAAACTGCTAGCTATCAATCCTTTACTTTTCTCGATTTTTCATGCCAGCTGACGCAAGGTTTATAACTTCTCTTCCTCCTGAGGTGTTTAAGGTCATCATCAGTTTATAATGGCCGAACTATTATTGTTATTATTATTTGATGTTATTATTGCAGAAAATAGGAAAAATAAAGGAGGTATTCAGTCTCCTCTGAAGTACCAAATGAATGGATATGTTTTACGAATTCGGTTTCAACGATACAGGCTAAGTTTTGGAGACGTTTCGAAATCGTGATGTTCAAGAAAAAGAATCCTCTAAGCTCTACCTACAGGTTTGATTTACATGTATTACTTCCCTTGAATTGCCAATACCACACTGAAGAGCTCTAATTTCTGCTGAAAGAGCGCCATCTTGTGGTGAAATAACACGACTACGACAAAACGATTACTGTGATAATTCTCAACTATAAAATTACAAAAGTTTTTATTTACTAAATTTCCGAAAGGTATTGGCCTCAATAATTGTTTATTTGACTTATTTGTACGACAAGTCCTTGTGCAAGAAGGCTTTTAAGCATCTTATTCGAAGGTTTGTGGTGAATGTTGGATTGCAAAAGTCGAACCTGAGTACTTGACGGCAGGTACTCGAGTATCTGTTTTCACTGTGTTATGGTGTTCGCGCGGCCAGGTACACACACTATGACACTTTCGTTGTCAACACTATACATGCCAAACTTTATCCTTTGAGCGGCGTGGGATGAATGCAAAGAAATACTACATGTGGTAAAAGTTGTTTCCGAGTGTTTACATTAGTTTTTTCCTTATTCTTGGCCCTTCAGCAAGTCGTTTCTCGAGTGAAAACTCCCGTGTGTAACACCAAATTTCGCCAATGCAAAACAAACATGGCGGAACCCGAGCAAGAACCAGGCCTGTTGGATAGCACAGGCACACACTCGTTGTGCGATGAAACCACAATCGTTGACGGCGATCAAGTTCAAGTTGTTACATCTGGCTTGAGTGATGAACTAGTTCGGCAAGCACTCGTAGAAGCAAATGACTTTGATTCCTCAACAATCAGATCCATCTATGCTGTGGCTGGAGAAGGAACAGAAGTTTGTGACACAGGGCAGACTTCTGTGGAAGTCAGCAGTGGTCTTAGTGTTATCTCTACAGATCAGAATATTCCATCTGCTGAAAACACACTTTCATCTAGTTCCGAATCTGCGCTTGTCAATAATACTGATTCTATTTTCACCAATGGGTCGGAGGCTCTTATGACGAACGGTGGTTCAGATTCAGATGTGTTGGGCGTCGAGAGCAATGGAACCTACACAGTTGATGTTGGGTCACTCCAAGAGAACCAGATCATTTCTGTGTCTAATGATATTATCCCTGGTTCTGTTATTATTTCTCAGCCATCACAGGAACAGCTACATCAGGCAGTTGAAACTCCTACCATGGAAAATGGACTTCTTCCTGGTGAAAGCCATAATCTCATTCAGCAAATTGATACTCAGTTTGTTCATGAGTCAGACAGCAATATGTTGCCAGGAGACTCAAGTACACAGATAATTCAGAGTGAGGGCCTTGGACGACCACAAGCAATAAGAGTGACAGCCCCACATGGCTTGACCATGACCCAAGAGGTGCTGCAAAACGTTATCCAGCAAGTCCAGGCACAACAGCTGGCTGCAGCGGAAAAGAAAGATGGTACTTCAAGTCCAGAATCATCTGCCAACCAAAATAACACCCTGAGTTTCACACTGGTATCATCATCTTCGTCGCCGCCTCTTGGGTCCAGTCAAAATCCAATTCGAATCATTCAGCAAGGAAATCGCTACACCCCTGTCCAACAGTTATCCACTGAGCAACTGCAGCAAATAATGCAAGTTGTTCAGCAGCAGCATGTGAGTAAAAATGCACAAGATAATGGAGGAACGGTAATATTTAATCCTCAAACCAACACAAGGATAATGTACAGGGTTATTTATCCATCAGAACTCCACAAAGCGCAGAATGCTGGTGGTCATGAAACATACCAAGTCGTGCGACCTACGACCTCAACTCAGGAACAACAGACAAGCATACCTCATCAAAAGCGACAATACAGGAAAAGGAAATTAGACATTCAAGCTGTCCCAGCTGTTCCCGGAGAAGAAGATGGTACTGACAAGGGGAATCCTGACACCCCTGAGCTTTCGAAAGAAGAAAAAGAGGAAAGGAAAAAGCATAGACCGAGGACTCGCTCAGGCAGGGTTTCAAAGCCCCCAAAGCATATGGTTCAAGACTACAAACACATTCATGTTCTGGATTGGGATGAGGATTATGATGATTCAGATGGTGGATATTCTGATTTTAAACACAGCGATGAAGAAGGCAAAGTGAAACAAGAAGGAGAGGAAGTTCAGTCGCCATCACCTGACTTTTTTCCTGGTAAGTGTTACTCATTGATAGTATAGCATTTTGCAGGTATTTTAATCTTAAACTCACAGCAGTTGGCATGCTACAAAAGACGAAGCTAGTGTCTAGTGACCAAAACCAGGTCTTACACAGATCAGCATTGTTGGTCGTCTTCTAAGCTTCATTGCCCACCAAAAGAACTCTGCTGTGGCTTAGAGGTTTTTATGACCCCATCTGTTCCTTTCAACAGGCACTTTTTTTCGTTGAGTTTTAATACAGCAGATGTCGTTGTAAAAGCAGCAATTGGTGTAGAGCCAAGTAGTCTTTCAGTGAAATCTTGCTATTCCATGATGATGTTTTTACTTTGTTGTTTCTAAATAAAGATAGTTCGAGCAGAATGACTGAAGTTGGAAACACAGAGCACATGTAAACAAATTATCAGTAACTACTGCTTTGATTGATTATAAAATTTACACTCGGTGTACTCAATTTTATTGTCTTTGTAATAAGCAGTGTAAAAGTCTTTAATAAAAGATCGAGAACCAGTCCTTTGTAGGGTCATGAAGCAAAAGAATTTTGATTGATCAACAGCTCTTCTTGTCCATGATATAACTAACTACGCTGTTTCCGCAAGATTCTTTTAAGTCTTTTTTTACTTAGCATTGTCTGACACTGTACTGACAGTTCACTTCCAATGGCTCTTGTCAACTTGTGTGTTTCCCTTTTCTTGTACATCTAATCTCATCTGAGGACAGGACATGTTGAAAGATAAACTGTCAGTTTTCCTCTCACTCATCATATGATCATGATAAAGTGAGTTGTTTCAGAATGCTATCTGACTGAGTGTTCTACTTCCATTGTTCTGGGGAGGGGGGGGGGTTGGTTCTGACCCCCCCCCCCCCCCCCCTCCTGTGGCCATAATAACCACCTTTATAAAATTTAGCTTTTTAAATTCTTTTAATTTGGTCAGATAGTTTAGGAGTAAGAGCACAAACACGGTGAAGTACAATGCAAAGCCAATGCTGGTTATCTATGGAGTAAACAGTACTGCAAAAAAAAAAGAAATTTTAGTTGTTAGCAGAGTTTTAAGGGCCATGTAAATGCAGGTTTGATGATGCAATATATAATGGTGTGAAGGCATTTGTAATGTCTGTGTGTGTTGAAAGAGGGAAATGGAGGGACAAGAGGAGAGAAAAATAAGATAAAACAGATTTGTGTGTGTGTAAGATGAAGTAGGAGGGGGGAGGGGGCAATATGGGATGAGGGCTAGGCTATTTTAGTATGATAGCCTAGAATGAGGGCAATTACTGGCCCTGAGGCAAGACCTGAGATGCGAAATACAGAAATGTGATGTGTTCCCTTATTCAGCTTATCATGATCATCAGTGCAAACTGCACTCGCTCACGCTGGCTAAAATGATGTATACACACAGCTTTTCAACTTCATTGTCTTCTGCTCCTGGTGTGTAAAAAGCAAAGGATGTGGGTGGTTGGAGGGTGCTCTGGTGTGGTTTGCTCCTTCTTTCTCCTATCAAACATAGAATCGCCCTTTAACTCTCTCCTCCTTCTTTTTTATGTTTGTTACTCGCTTGTAACACCTTTACTCTTCGGCACTTATGACCTTATTGTGTTGCAAGTGCTGTAAAACTATTAAAACTAAAAAAGCAAAGGGCAAGACAAATAGCACCCCCAGCAAATTGGGATGACAAAACAAAAATCACTGCACACAAGAGATGAAGTAACGTATTGTAGCTTTCTTTAAACATTTACGTATAATTATTGATCCTGGGGAACGATGTCGCGTTCTGGGGTTGAAGGAGGAGGGTGGTCCACCTTTAAAAAAAAGAAATTGTTCTTGTCTAAAAGTGTTCTCTCTGTTTGCCGATTATTATTAATATTACCGAGAAAACAAGAAGGACTTTTATTTCAATGTGTTGGTTTGGTCAACGTGAATGTGAAACACGTTGCCCCTTGAACCAGGTTGTTCTGGTGACTCTCTCTCTCTCTCTCTCTCTCTCTCTCTCTCTCTCTATTGT